ACAGCCACAACTGCCCCGAAGATGAATAAAACAGAAAAACAAAGTAGGCACAAGAGTTTGTGGGTTTGTGAAAAGGAAATGACTGCCTACCTTCGTTGATACCTGACGCGGAGGCATGGGACGCGCTTTTGCACTGTGTTAACTATCGTAGCTCACGTGTACTGTTTTAAAATGTTTCTCTCGGCCCTCCAGATTCCTGTTCTTTGCCAGTGCCCTCGGTGATTTGTGCATGAAATAATCTCTGAATGAGAATGATAATAACAATAAAAGATATAGCGCAACAGCTCTGATTGCAAGCTGCAATTGCAGACTGCTGACCACTAACAACTTCTGGTGATGCAGGTCGCGTGCCACCAGAGGTTAAGGGTAACCTGCTTTTTTATTTTAGTTTATTTTTTAAATACGTTTTGTGAAAGTGAGACTGATAGGATGCAAAGGGTGCAGTGTGAACTAACACACAAGTATAAGATAACCTTTATTTGTCCCACATTGGGGAAATTTGCAGTCTACAGCAGCAAAATGTGGGGGGGTTGAAAAGAAAAAAACAAAGTGTTGCATGCACAAAATAAATAAATGTTTCAGAAAAAGAACTGTACACAGTATGTCATATAAGTAACACGCACACAGACACAAATGTTTTGGCTTTTAAAAAAACCAAAAAATCCCCTCTACAGCACTTGCGATCGACTTGAGACCAGTCCGTGAGCTACCGGTCGATTGGGATCAACGTATTGGGCACCACTGCTCTAAATCATTTTTTAAATGGTGATAGAAGCTTTTTGTTTCAATGAAGAGGAGCATAAAAGCTCCTTCGATGTCTGTCTGTTGCTCACACTTTTCTTTGCCACTGTTGAATGTTGACATAAATAACTCAATCCTTTACTTAGTACCAGGCAGTGTGGGCACTGGGCCATGGAAACCTTTTAACCAATGTGGCTAAAAAGTAGAAACAGTGAATACCGGTCGCCACATCCTCCTTTCCTTCATGTTGCTTTTTAACTGGTTGGCGGTTCAAGGACACGCCACAGCCAATTACCGTGCCTCGCCTTGAGAGACAACCCATAATCTCTCAGCAACGATAGCGCAAGTGGAGGCGGGGCTGCACAGAGCTGTGATGACACTGTATCCACCTGTTGCGCTCAGGGTTCAAATAAACAACCAGGCCGTTGGCATCGCTCTGACTGCATTAAAATTGTAATACTTCAAATGAATTCCCATTTTTAAGAACTAGAACTGTAATCTGATTACGTGTTTTTTTTCTGTAACAACGAAAAACAGTAAAACAATGACAATAAACAGCATGAAGCATCTTTTTGAATATTTACTAATTCGATCTGAAATCACCACCATATAGTGCTCATATCTCAAGTTTCAAAAAAATCGGCTGAACGACGGCTCGTATCTAGAAAAACTCACAAGTCGTGTCACTAATATCTCAAGGCCCTACTGTATAACAAAGTTAATTAGGGTCGTAAATATTTGGTGCCCAGGTACCCATGCCCGCCGACATGTCCCTGACTGAGACTGTTCAGAATGTGCAGCGGTCAGAATAAACATTCATGCAATTCTTTTGTCATCTTTATTATCTGCCAGTTATGGTGCCGCAAACGAAAAAGCACACAAAACACAAGACCTCAGAAACCATCAATTGTTATCGACCGTCATCATGTGACCCAACCTCTATCCCATATGACTAAAGTGGAGAACATGGCGGCCACACTGAGGATTTGTATCTGCGAAATTAAGCGCATCATGTGCAGGAAAGGAACTAATTAAGCTTTCAAAGGGGCATTTTTCTCACAAAGTCTCTGAATCTGAAGTACTTCGCTTTGCTGTTGCCTGAAAACTCACAAGAGGTAGTCTACAGGATGACATGGAAAAACATGCGCATTTGGTTTCTGCCGCTGATAACCAGAAGGTCATCCAATCTTTGTGTACGATTTCTATTTCCTTTTTAAGTATGCTGTTTGGAAAAATACTGAGAGCCGACTTCTTGCTTCACCTGTGCTGCGCTTTGGTAATCACTCAACTCAAGGGAATAATGGCGGCTGGGTTCAAAAACGATATAGCCTTGCAGAGTTCATCTTTTACAGAGATGAACTCTAGAGGAGGTAGATTGTGTGATCAGCTGAAGGAAATGACAAACAACCCGCGGAGGCTATCCACCTTCATAGAAACACAATTTCTTGACATTGCGTTAGTCCTCAATACCCTCATGCACTCATGCATTTCACTCTATGACTGTGGACATTTGAAGCAAGGTTTCCATGTCCACTAATGTCATGTTTACAGCAACTTGTACTGCCTTTGGGGGTCAGGAGGTGTTCACACGGCACACATTTGCTCCGGTGCCGCACCAATGTACTGAATTTTGTTGCGATATATTTTACACCGGAGCAAATTTTGTGGAGCGGTCACACGTACAAAGCCGCTGAGCGTGTTAACCCCGGCATAGCACTGGTGCAGCGCCACTTGCGGTCACACGGCAGTTTCTGCAGCGGTGCAAAACGATAGAAAACAAAGAGCTGTCATGTTGGTTCTTTTTAAAACATACACAACTCAAGCAACTGCTGTACAGGCACGTCCTTCTCCTTCGAACAAACTACACAAACAACTCCGAGACAGTCCAGTCTCCTACAAAAGGAAAGATGACGTTTGGGGACTATTCCTCCCCGTTCTAGTTGAGATGGTATAACCCAAAGGTGCCGCTTGCTACTGTTATTGCCAGCCATGTCTTGTGTCGTTATTAAACACATGACGGAAGTACAACAGAGCACGAAAGCAACGCATTCTCGCCGTATGTAATCAACTCTTCCCATGCGTAGCAAGGCTACTCCCACCCCGCAAACGAGCATTTGCTCCGGAGCAAATTGTAGCGTTCACATGTACCATTTTACATCGGTGCTGCCCCGCAAACGAGCATTTGCTCCGGAGCAACTTTTTAAACCACCTCCCTGAGGTGGTTTTTAAATTTGCTCCGGAGTAAGCTGTTTTCAGGGGCTACACCGGTGTAACTTTGTACGTGTGACCGCTCTACTGGCGTAGCACCGGTGTAGCACCGAGCAAATGTTGCCGTGTGAACACCCCTAATATAACAGTCAATTTGATCAGTAGTGTAGGATGAATATTAATATATTAAAACAAAATTAAAATGTATCTGTTGGTGATGAAATACGACCGTGACAGTTATCTCTATTTTTTTGTATCGATTCCAAATAAATGCGACCTTATTTTTTTTTCAAAATATTGGGACACGCTAATGCAGCCGAACCCTGAGATGTTGTTCTCTTCATCGCTGGCGACTTTGACGGTGGTCCTTGACATGTTGCTTGTGTCGGTGTCTCCAAAAGTGAGAGGACATCTCCTCGGTAAACAAGCAATGTCCTTCGTTCAGCTGCGCTCGACAGAGAGAAACTGAATAACTGAGACACTTACTGCACTTCTTCATACAAAAGAGCTCTTATAATGCAGTAAAACCTGAAAGGAGCAACACTTGAGAAATACATGTTGCATGCACTGTATAAGCACTCACTCACTCACCTCTGGTTTCTGACAGTTTATGCAAAAAGTCTTAGGTTCTTGAAGCCAGTTTTTGCAGCAGCTGTCGATGTGTCCTGTAACAGATGATCTTGAAGGTAAAGGTGCTGGATGTGGAGGTGCTGGGCTCATTACACACGGCCAACAGTTCCTGATTGGATGGACTGCCAAATTCACTCAAACACCTTTGGAGTCTATTTCTGCTTCCACAATGTCAAAGACTGTATGCCCCTCTGCTGTACGGTATTTAAAGGTAATGAGCGTAGCCGCTTGAATTGGTTAGGAGGTAAGTCAGCTGTGTTCACACCCACAGTGGCGCAACCAGCCTACCTGTGTCCGTGTCACGTTGCGTACAAGGCAGGAATAAAGAACTGCTTCGTACGCAACAGAGCGAACGAGAGTAGGTGGATCCCCGAAGTAGCAGACACTGACAAGGTTTTCGTCTTAACAAATAAAATTTATTACAAACGAAAAACACCGTCTAAAGGAAAACAGAAAACGCTGGTCAAAACGAGAACCAGGAAATAATGTAACGTGAAAAAAGAAAGCGCTTGCGAAAAACGGCAAGGGAAAGATAAGACAATTTACTCGATAAACTATGCGTTATAGATAATCCCACTGGGATGACGAAAGTGTAGCGAACAACAATTGAGTACAAATAAGGTTACGAGCATGGGCAACAGCAGCGGCACGGCAAGCAATACTCCGGCAATAAGTCGACAGCCGGAGCGCCTAGATATAGCAGGTGTGATCACAGAACAAATGCGCCACAGGTGTGCAGTCGGCAGAATGAATGCCTGCCACCTACTGTCAAATACGGAACATGACAGTCCGAGTACAAAAATACCAAATGAAAGAAAACTCCATCCATTCGCCCAGTTAGATTGCACTATGCAATAGACTCGCACTGGGAATGACAATAAAACCCAAGGAGTGGACCCCACTTTAATGAAATAGTGGCAGACAATTAAAGCAGGGTACACATATACTGATCATCGGGCACCAATTTGAGAATCCCCTGTATTCCAACCAAAGTCAACAAAGGCCTGATTATGAGATGCCTCTAAAATATTATTGTTTGATAATCCCGTGGTGTGGGGTGTGTTTAGAAGAATTCTTTATCTCCTTTCACTTGGAAAAATGGATCGGTGTCAGCAAAGGCCTTGCTCTTTCGTGTGTATTCTGCTTAAGTTTTGATGCATAAGAATGTTGACAGAACATTCCTGAATATCACTGCCATCACTGAGAGACTTGCAAGCATGATACGCACACTGAAAGTTGACCTAGTCTTTTTCAAACCGGCACCGGGCTTATTGCCGGAAATAAAATCACTTAAGGAAATGGTGAAGAACAAACAGTCGTGACACAGCGTCATGGAGACACTTTATCTGCCTTTCCTCATTAAAAAGCTGTTGCCTGGAAGCCGCACGCCTCATCTTTTCGACTTTCTGCTTTCCCTGCAGGAATTTCTACTATATTACCATGCTACGAGACCCTGTGTCACGCTTCCTCAGTGAGTGGAAGCATGTACAGCGCGGCGCCACCTGGAAAACCGCCCTGCACATGTGTGACGGCCGCCCACCCACTCAGGACGAACTTCCAGCCTGCTACAGCGGCGAGGACTGGACCGGCGTGACCCTGGCAGACTTCATGGATTGTCCCTCCAACCTCGCCAACAACCGCCAGGTGCGCATGTTGGCTGACCTCAGCCTCGTAGGCTGCTACAACATGTCGTCTATGAGCGAATTGGAACGAGGCCGCGTGCTGCTCGCCAGCGCCAAGGCCAACCTGCGTAACATGGCCTTCTACGGTCTGACCGAGTACCAGCGAAAGACGCAACACTTATTTGAGCGGACTTTCAACCTGCGTTTCATTCGGCCCTTCACGCAAATCAATAGCACGCGCGCCGCCAGCGTGGGAATCAACAAGAAAGTGCAGTGGCGCATCGAGGGGCTGAACGCCCTCGACGTGGAGCTCTATGAGTACGCCAAGGAGCTTTTCCTGCAGCGCTACCAGTACAACCGCCAAAAGCAGCGTCAAGGGGAGCGTCTCCGGCGGCGGCAGGAGAAGCAGCGTCTCCACAGGACCTACCTGGCGCAGTTGCTGAGATTAGGAGGAGCTGAGAAAGAGGAGGAGCAGGTGCTTGCCACGACGGAGGACTATAACAGCCAGGTGGTGCAATGGTGATGAGGAAATAGCATAGACCAAGCTAACTGTCGTTCTCCTCCCCTTTGCTGTCAATCTGCCAAATTCTTCTCCTCCCATCGTCCTTTGTTGGCTGGCCAAAAGGTGTCTTAATATTTATGATTGATGTGTTTGTAACATTTTGTATGTGTTGTTTCTCATGGCTATTTTTGGCTCTGCAGTTGTAAAATGCATTTAACTTTCATGAGCAAAGCCAAATGTTTGAGACATTTGGCTAGAAGTGTATGTCTGCAAAAAAACGGTGCAGCAGTTTTAGAAAATTCATAGAACCACAAATGGACTTTAAGGATTTTCTCTGTAATGTTCTAGTGCTGTGTTCACCGTTAAATTATTGTGCTTACTTTGTGGCTAGGTCAGAAAATCAAAGCACAAACTTGGCTGTCGTCTCTCTTGCCTCCTACTCACTGACCTCCACAAATGAGACTCAATCAAGGTTGTTCCTTTGCGGAAATTCTGTTAATAAAAATATACAGCATCCTGTGGTATCAATTTGTACTTGAGCGTCTTTTTCCTGGCCCATGTGGTTTCTGCTATCCACATACAAAAACACACGGCCAAGCATGGAAAATTGCTCCACAGCTGCAAGAAGATTGCGACTGTTTCATTGAAAGCACTACATTGGGAATACAAATCAAATTATGTTACGGTGAACGATGTATTCAGCTGCATGTGGCCAGCGACAACATAATGATTATTTTTAAAAATATGTATATTTTTGATTATTACGATTATTTTTATCAGAACTCCCTGCCCCCTCCCCAATACATCTTGAAAAAACACTGATCAAGATTCAAGATATGTTTTCAACGGAAAACAGGGTTAAAAAAAAATGTGAAAAAATAACGTGAGAAATCTAATATATTAAAAAACATTGAAAAGAGAAAAACAAATATCCAAATCCGCTGGTCCCGAACTATAAATATACAGGGGTTGACAGTAGTTTTATCAGCAGTCACCAGTAGATGGCAGAAATACTGCCCGATGCTACAACGTGCGTAGAGCTAATATTTTTTTGCAGATTTGGAATGATATAGGCGGCCCGGTGGTCCAGCGGTTAGCACATCAACCTCACAGTGCAGAGGTACAGGGTTCAATTCCAGCTCCGGCCTCCCTGTGTGGAGTTTGCATGTTCTCCGCGGGCCTGCGTGGGTTTTCTCCGGGTACTCTGGTTTCCTCCCACATTCGAAATGGCAGGTCAGTGGAACACTCTAAATTGTCCCTAGGTATGATTGTGAGGGCGGATGGTTGTTCGTCTATGTGTGCCCTGCCATCGGCTTGCAACCGGTTCAGGCTGTCCCCCGCCTACTGCTCGAACACAACTGGGATAGGCTCCAGCACCCCCTGCGACCCTTTTGAGGATAAAGCGGTTCCGAAAATGGATGAATGGATGGATGGATGGAATGATATACAGGGCAAACGTAGTCCCTCAAAAAAAGAAACATTTTGTGAGTATGTTTTTGTGAAAAAAATATGCAGATTGAATACTTGCAGTCGTTGAATACTGTAGTAATTGTTATGCAAGAGTGCCTTTTGCACTGAAGAAAAATAGTTGATCATTCATACATGCATTGAAAAATGTATTATCAAAAATGAAAAATATTAAGAGCATGTATTTTGCAAATCTGCACGTATTTTTCCCTTCTTTAAATCACAGTTTTGTCATACATCTGGTTAGGAAGAGTGTGTGGTGCTCTGTGGCCCACTCAATAACACTGCTCAAAAATTGTGGCCCCCTCCAGCATTTAAGTTGCAGATCCATGCCTAACATCATCATCCTGATACTAGAACACCGTGGCTGCGACTCCCCATCATCTATCCCACTGTTGTCGAGGACGCATTGTCATTATTCGGGCATTGATATCTTGGCCTGTGCCCATCAGCCTCCAACTTCATTTTGTGACGACTGTAAATTGACCGTTATGACAAGGGGGTGGTTCGTGCATCTGCTTCACAGTAAAGGGTCCATGGGTTCAGATCTCGGTTCGGGCCCTACTGTGTGGGCATTTGCTTCGTCTCCCTGTTAGGTTTTTGTTTAGATTACATTTGGTTTTGTTCCCTCATGTACCTGTTTTTTCTCCACCTGTTCTCGTCATCCGTGTCCCTTGTGTTGAACCAATCAGCTCCCTCAACCCTTTGTGTCTTGTCCTGGTGTTTCTCGTTGTCTCGTCACTTTGCTTGTATTTAGTTCCCTGGGTTCTGGCAGTCTTTGTTGGATCATTGTGTGCGTGCATCTGTGTGCCCATGTCATATTTTGTTTCTGTCATAGGCTTTTGCTACTTTGTTTTCTTGTGATTTCCAGGACTTTGTTCAGTATTTGAGTTTTTTCCAGTGTACCCTGCAAGTGTTTTTCGTGAATACATTTTGTTCAGTACACCCTGCTCCTCCTTCTGGGGTCCTCCGTGCACTACCTCGCAAAACGTGACACTCTCTGCGCTTTCTGGGGTTTTTTTTTTTTTTTTTTGGTGTACTCGGGCTTCCTTCCGCAAAACATGCATGTTAAGTTCATTGAAGACATTAAATTGTCCAGGTGTGAATCTAAGTGCAAATGGTAGTGCATACCCTGGCAACCAGTCCAGTGTAACCGCCTCTTACCCAAAATCAGTTAGAATAGCTTCCAGTTTACCTGCTGGACTAATGCAGACCGGCACCATTCTTTTGGGATCACATAACATTGCTGCCAAGTCTTCTAGGTGGTTTGTACCCTTGTTTGCAGCATCATCACCCTGTTGTACTTTTGAAGCAATTATTGCATGCATACTGTACATGCTATCCAGATTAAACTGAATGTTTAGCTCATTAGCCACGCTGAGCTAAATCATTAGGATTAAAAAAAAAAAAAAAAAGTAAAATTATTGCAAATAGCTGGATGGGAACAGCATATATACTGTATAAGTTATATCATCTGCAATTGGCTGGCAACCAATTGATGGTGTACCCCTCATGCTGCCCAAAGTCAGCTGGGATAGGCTGTAGGATGGCCGTTACCCTCATGAGGATAAAGCAGTCCTGATAATGGATGGACAGACATCATAACACAATTCCCTCGTGAATTTAAACACAACAGTCAATGACAGGGTGGCGCTCTCCTGCGATCTGCTGTACAGTCATTGAGCAACATCATGAACTATTTGCTGAAATCGTTTCTGGTGGATGAGTGAACAACGGAAACAAAAGATTTTCCATAACACAGCTATGTCAATACAGAATATAGAAAACAAAATTCGGACTTTATTCTTGTTATATTTTGGATTCCGATTTATACACGTGTCTTTAATTCTTTTTCTTGAAAGGTCAGTTACACCTTAAGATTTGTGCCATAAGATTTACTACCTAATGTCACAACGCTGCTTTTTTATTTTTCTGTGGAAGGCTGTACTTTTTATACGTAAAATGAAGCATTTGAAAACACATTGGTTAAATTGCAAATGCTCTGAGAATGCATCTATATATCGGTAATGAGACTGGTGGGATGTCTTCCCATTAATAACATATCAACGGAGGTACGTCGCACGCCCTTCCATTTACTGCTTCACTGGTCCATGCTTGTGAATGTTCTCAATCATCCAGGTCATTTCGTTCTCAGCTCATGAAATCAATCGCAACTGGACGGTTCGGGTTGTCTGAGTTTGGCCTTTCATCCGAGAAGGCTTCAACAGTTCATGCAACAAGGCTTGGTTCGGATTTGATTGCCCCAGCCTGAGTTGCTGTGGAGAACCCACCTGTTTAACGATTTAAATTTGTATGGTGCCGGCAACTGTGCCATTATTCTGTAAATATCATTTCATGCGTGCATGGCAACGAAATTTAACTCCTATCAGGCGAGGCTTACCAATAGCTTCAACTGCAGTAGGCTCCTTCTCTCTTTTAAGTCTAAATTGTCAGTATGTTGTCTGGGAGTTCACACAATCCCAAACAGTGTAAAAATGTTTATTTTACAAAATGCTGCAAACAGAGCTCGAGATAGAGTCATTTCCTTGGAACTGAGGGGTTGATGATGAGTCTTTGAAGAGGGGGCTGTGCCTTGATGATGCAGATTCAAATCATCAGAGTAGAGTAAATTTGGTGTCTGAGGCCAGCTTGCCTTTCAGAATGTGAAGAGAATGAGACAGCTCAGAGAAAGCCGGCCGGGTTGAGAAGGCAAGTGGATATGGGAAGGATGCTGTCAACGGGAGGCGCCTCTGTTTACAGTTTGGGCATCCTGGCTGCATTCAGGCGCATGGACACGCAGGAAGCACCGGCCGCGTAACGCATCTCCCTCAGCATGCCGCTCCACTGCTTCTTGTCATTCTCATACCTAAAGCAGGAACGTGAGATCTGTCACAGCTCGGTCCAATCGTACCTCGTGCAACATGCTGCCAAAAATGAAGACTTACTGCCAGACGTCGGTGACCTCTGTGGGAGCCACCTCCTTGTTCTCCACTTCAATCATGGCGAAGCCACCCACAGCGTACAGGGAGCCACCGGTGCTCACTAAGTTGACAGAGCTCCTCTCTTGGGGGAATTCTGCAAAAGGCTCCCACCTGGTGAGAATCAACCAGAGGATAAGGTCAAGCTGAAAACAAATTACACACATACAGTAGATAAACGTAGCACCTACTTGTTTGTCGCAAAGTTGTAGGTTTCACAGGAGGCAGTGAGGCCTCCCTCATTCACTCCACCAGCCACTATGATCTTGCCATCATAGATGACGGTCCCAAACATTGCTCTGGGTGTCTTCATGGCTGCCAACTCCCTCCACTCCGACTGCTTGTGGTTGTACACAAACATCTTGCCGAGAGCTTTGCTGTAGAGAATAAGGAAAAATGAAGGTAAGTGATATGGTTTGTGGGTGCTCTTTTTGCTTAATCATTTGTCAATTCGCAGGGGTGGGCAAAAACTACATGACGGACTTCCAGGGTGCCTTGTGTAGAGGTAGCGCGGGTGCTGCGGAGAAATCCAAAACAATTTAGTGAGGACCAAAGTAAAAATGTCGAGACAATAATGTATTAATAGCTTTTATAGTTACAGTCCACTTACATTGGGCTCAAGTGGTGCAGAGTTTGTTCTTATTGTCAGTTTGACTCACAGTACACTGTGAATGAAGGGCTCCACATATGGAGTCAATCACACGATTTCTGTCAGTCAAAATTCAAATAAGAAATATGTAATGCTTTATATCTTTTTTAAATGCAATTTTGTGTTTTTATGTCTTTCTTTATGTCAGCAAACAGTTTCTCCCAGACTGACTATTTATATCTGCTATTCACTTGGGGACAGTAAGTAAATTCCACAAGGACAGTTTTTGAGTAGATTTTACTTGCACAGTATATATATATATATATATATATTTTTTTTTTTTTACATCAGTCAGGGTTGAGGAACAAAGCCCCGACCTTCAGGTTGGGAGACAGCCATTCTATCACCTGAGCCATGACACTCCTAGTGTTAGTATCAAAGAAGATCCCAAAAACTGCTCTTGGAAGTATTTTGCCTGACACCAGCAAGTAATTAACTTGCTGATTTTTTTTTTAAACTTATACTATACAAGTCAACTCAGAAATTCTCCTTGTAAAATTTACTTTGAATTTCTAAGTGAAAGAAACCCAACTATATTTTTAATCCAAGTAAATATCACAATTTTTTTTTTTCTGAGTACCGCGTATATATCTTTTCAGCTGCTGAGTTTCTCTTGGGGTGAAGGAATTTATTGTGCATGCATGAAGCTTCCTTGTCAAGCAAAATTTGCACTGACACATTGCGATGGCTGCTTCACACATACAGCGTATATGTATTTTTCCTCTGGGACTGACACCTGCTCATCACTTGCTGTACTTGACTGATGGCTGAAAATGCAGATACAGAGAGAGCGTTTAATACGGAGGCTTAAAAAAAAAAAAACCTTGTCATGCAAGTCTCTGTTTATCTGATGCCTGACAACTGAATTTAGTCCTGCAAAAAACTGTCACAAAATTTATTCACATTCCATGAGTACAATACTATACATGTAGTATACTGATGCATGATGAGGAGTAGGATGACGTTTAATGAACAGCTCTATCTCGTGACAGTGGATTTCTTGTTTTTTTTTGGTTTTTATTTGCTCTATCATTGTGTGTGTGTGTCTCTGTCTCTCTCACACACACACACTAGACTCACTTGTCATCTGTCTTGCCACCAATGCAGTAGACCAGCCCCTTGTGGGACACCACAGCATGTCCATGGATCTTGAGAGGAAGCTTCTTACTCTCACTCCACCTCATCTTCCTGGAAGAGGAATATAGGAGCTTCGGAGTACAAGGCGCACCTTCAATGAATGGCCTATTTTAAAACGGTTTTCATATATAAGGCGCACTGCATTATAAGGCGCATAGAATAGAAGCTACAATTGTGGCTGCGGTTGTATTATGCATCCACTAGAGGGAGCTATGCAATGGGGAATACAATACAATACAGCTTTATTTATGTAGAACTTTCACAACCGCTGTAGCTGTAACAAAGCGCTTTACAAAACATTTAAAATACGACGGCCAAGAAATCAGAATATCGATCCATATATAAACCGCATCGGATGATAAGGTGCACTGTCGGCTTTTGAGAAAATGGAATGCTTTTAGGTGCACCTTATAGGCCGGAAAATACGGTACCTTAAAAGGACTATAACAGAGATCAAAAGTGAGGAAACAACAATTCTACTTACTCGATGTCATAGCACATGACAGTGTCCAGTGACTCATTAGTCTGCAGGTCTTTTCCAGCCACAGCAAACAGCAAGTTGTCACTCTCGCCGATGCTGAAAAGGCATCTCGGAGAGGGCATGGGTGGCAGGGCGACCCAGTCCGAGGCAAGAGGATCCAACTGAAGGAAAAGACACATATCTAGGTGAACTTTGCAGAAACAGACACTTTTGAGACATTTTGCGTGTTTACATGGCTTGATCTGCATTAAGGCATGGAAAGAAAAGACACACAATTGAATTCATGTGAATGTCTCTCTGCATTCAAACCAACACAGTGCATTGGCTAAAATGACACACACATTCCATCTGCTAATCTACACGCAATGCGCAAATTTAAACTTTAAAAACAGAGCCTTCTACTACTTAGAAAAAGATACTTACCATGTAGAAATAACATTGCAAAGGAACATCCTTGTTTTCCTCATCCACAAACAGCCCCCCGATGATGTAGAGCTGGTTCTTCTGTGACGTCAGGCTGACATGGTTGTGTGGCACCTGCTCCGACATGGCCGCCAGAAAGCACTCGTTCTCGTTCACGTCGTAGGCCACCGCCGCAGAGTCGTTCACCATCAGGATGAAGTCCCGTGTGTACATACCGTGTCTACGATCGTCGTTCAAAAAGCCAGGGAAAGGGCTGTCCTCCTCCTCGCTTCCTTCTTTCGTCGCCCCTTCCTTTTTCTTGGGCTTCTCGGGAAGTTTCCCCTTAAAGGCTTCTCTGATAACCTGAATTGTCTTCTGGAGTTCTGGGTCCGCCTTGATTATCTCATCAGTCTCCACTTTCTCTTTGAAGTACTTCTCGGGCAGCAGGCGGAAGCGGATGCAGTTGAAAGCATCTTTCAGGACCTTGGCACGCTTATCCTTGTCATGACGAACCCAGGCCATCACTGATTCAAACACCACCTCCTCCTTCTCCACATTCAGCGAATCTCCACCAATGATGGCGAACAGCTCGTGGGCTGCGAGTCGGAGGAAGTCCTCGTCTTTATGCAGCAGCTCAAAGTGGTCAGCGATAAAGTTGCGAGCGGCGATGGCAAGCCGGGGACAGCTGAGCACGAGGCCCATCCTGAAGATTGCCATGCAGTTGCCCACAGAGATCTTCTTCTGCAGGTAGTTGACACAAACGGTGAAAACTGAAGGGATCTGGAATTTGTTTGCAACAGCGATGATATCCTGAACATTGTCGTCTGTGAGGTCAATCTCTGCAGAGTAAAGGTACTGAATGATCATGTGCAGGACTGAGGCATTGACATCCTCCAGGACCACTTCTTTGGTGTTCTCCACCTCCTTCCCATCTTCTGTAAAGAAGATCTCCCTGAAGTAAGGGCTACAGGCGGCCATGATCAGTCGATGGCAGGGGAGGCTGCGGTCGCCAACCTTCAAGGTGCAATCGACAAACTTGTTCTCGTTCAGCAGCTCCTTCAAACCATCCTGGAGCAGAGTGCTCTGAAAAAGACGCAGCTCCTCCTTCATGGTATTAGGGTCCATGATGGTGGGGAAATGTTGAATGAGCAGAGTGGATTTGTCGAGAAAGGATGGCGACGTCGAGCGCGGGTCCTTTAGGTACTCAATCCTGACTGGAAAGGGCAGCAGTGAGAAAAGGGTCGCAGTGTGAAGCCCCTGCAATTGAATCCAGCCACCCCTCTAAATATAGCTGCCCCTGCCTACCTCATCTCCCCAGGAATCCGCCAGCGCCAAATCACTGCGCCGTACCAGCCTTGCGCTGGCCAGCAGCTGCTGTCCCAGACGGAAAGGAGCAACTGGTTGCTGAGGGTATGCCACCATGATTCAGCTCTTCGAGTGGCCAGATTAGAGTAAAGACAATAGTGTCAGAGCCCAAGAATGGCTTGGCTCGAGAATAACTAAGGGTACTAAGGATATATTTATAGCTGTCACTCTCACATAAAAACAGGGATTGGAATCAAAGGTTAAACTCACTGTACGATATTTTGACGGCAACAATATCGAGAATAAGCAGTTCAGAAGTTGGGGGGGGAGGGGAACCAAACACTTTTGTCCCTCTTTTTACAAGCTAATAAGTCCAATGAATATTTTTTCAGGAGCAAGAAAAATCTACGAAACATGGTTTTACAGGTGGCTTTGATATGAGGGGGTTGATAGCACATTAGAGAAATGATAGTTTCACATTCTTCATCAGACAGCCTGAATATACAGCAAATGTTTGACAGCAGCGTACTGACACTCAATTGCAGTTGACAGCATGGATAGTTTTCGTCTTGCCCCTAATACAAAATGATGCTTCAGACTCATGTGTGATTCAATTACTCACCTATTGGTCTCTTTAGTTTACATATTTTATCACATCTTTGTGATGTATCTTTCCGTTAATGCCAATGCCAATAATTGCTGTTTATTAATTTCAATGTTGTTGCAAATACAACTCAATTTCTTTGAAACTTTGTGGGTTGGTGTGAAGAACCCCCTCAAAAGAATGTCATACTCTTTTTTTTTTAAAATTCTGCAGACCTGAGTAGCGTTTTCTTTAAATTCTTAGTGAGTAATGCGTGGGTTATAATGACAAAAAAAATCAGGTGTGTGTGAGATGGGTATCTACAGAGGTGCTGAAATCGGACATTCAAATTAGGACTCAAATGAAATCAAAATTTAACAATTGTCATCAGGCAAGACCATGCCTTAATTATGATATTTAATGACAACAAGAACAGGTCCTCGTGTTTGAAAAACTACACACTGATAAATCTACAAAATGTGTTGTAACGACGACTCATCACAACGGATCAATGTGACTATCAAAGTCCATGCAAAGGTTTCAACTGATGACTAACCATTATTTGGAGTAGACAGACGATTACAAACCGTTCCAAAAATGGAGCAGTGCAAGTGCGGTGCAGCAGCTATGAGCACTAAAAGGTGAACGACACAATGTGCAAGATGCATTGGTCCTCTTTCACGGTGGTACAAATAAATTGTTTAACAAGCTGTTCACTTGCATCAACTAAGGCAATGAATGTGTTTTGAGTGAAACCAACTGCTAATTTGACTGGATCAATTGCATCCTGGGTTACCGTGTTCTTCCTTTAGTCCAACATGTGTGAGGAGTGTGTGGAGTGAGGTAATATTTCTCCAGTGGGCAGTCCTAAAAATAGATCAGACTACGCCACTTGTCGAGGAGTACCTCACATGTAATTTAAGCAGAAGGAAAGAGGAGTCGATTGAAGGCTGTGGCGCACGGACACAGTTGGGAGTTCAAGAGGCCTGTGTATCAATCAATCCTGCAAGAATAGTTCCACTTTTCATGCAAATTCTTAAAAGTGTGTTTCTCAACTGAAACTAAGGCTCGGCGAGTAAATGTGTTCTATTTGCATTCCAGAAAACAATTCACTTGTTTACTTACAGTAACACTGTGCTACACCGGGGCTAGAGGGTGCTAAAGCCACGTCAGAAATTTGTCTAGCCACGCACCCCCATTCATTTACCAGTATGTATTTATTTTAGTTAAAAAAGTTCACAAGTAGCCGTTGTGTTCCAATACAATCCCTGTTCCTGTGTGTGTGCTGCAAATGAACCTGTGTTTATGAAAGCGGGGGTGGGGGTTGTGAAAAGTCAAGCTACCGGCAGCCATCTTATGTTGCGAATCATTAAACTCACACTTAACCTGAACACACTGATATTACATGACATGGGTCTGGAGGATATGAGAGAACATAGACCAGTCCTCGGTGATGTGATGGGACGTTACTGTATTATAGCCCTCCGTGGTCCGCGAGGTCCATCTATCGCAAGTCAGAGCAACCCGTTTTGCTCAACGCAATGACTCTTTTACCTCGATGGCCACATCTGCGTAGAGCAGGGGCACGGCAGATTCAGTGAAATGTTTCCTTGGTGCTATCATGTAGTGTGGCTCCAACATGTGAACCATACGCCTAAAACGCTGATTTTCCACCACTGAATATGGCCGAAGGTCTTTAACCCTGAAATGTGTGATAGACCTGATGCAGTTTTTAGCTCTTGTTGAACCGCTGGGCAGGGTTTTCCTGGCTTGATTTTTTTACCAGATTTTTAAAAATGTTTCCCTGGGTGGTGTCAAGTGAGTCGCTGGCTCAAGATTGGTAGTGCTGCCACTGTATTTGAACAGTCTGCACACAGCGTGACTCACGTCTCGGTCTGTTTTTCCTAGGAAAGTGTTAAACCCGAATAATTTCCTAATTTTTTATTTAAAATGTTTGGGTGGTGGTCATAAGCATTTTCACCGTCCACCATTTTGTTTGTTTGGCTCCAACTGCATTGCTCAGGAACTTTCATGGGTTTTTTTTGGTTCACTCAGATGAGTAGTCTGGCTGAATGCTTAAACCGGCTGACTCACCACAACAAATTGGCTCTGCCCTGCCATCTGTTGGAAGAAAGTGGTAGCTTCAAGTTTGCTTTTTGAAAAATCAAGAAACTCGATTAAGAACTTTGACATCAATTTATTGAATCTTGGCATATAATAGTGATAGTTGAGTGAATTTATTTTTTTTGCACCCCCTTACAGGGATCCTGCCAGAAAAAAAATGCATTGAAACAGTGTATTCAATGAAAAAATGAACAGGTCAGTAATAGCAGCAAAGTAAGATGGCTGCCCTCACCCTTCGGCTGCAAGAGCAGACTGCCAGTCCAAGTTATTGTATACATCCATAGGAGTGAGTCTCTCAGGTACTTTCATGTTAGGTTACAGTTAGTTCAAATGTGTTTGCACACATGATTAAACGTATTTGCAAAGCATGTTCAAATGTATTGTTAAAATGTAAGCTAAGTGCTACAAACAGCAGCATTTACCTGCGCATGCGCAGGTCGTTCCCCTGTGGCATGTGGAAAAAATGCTGTTTTATTTAGCCTAATTTTTATCTTTATGTCTAACAGAGTGGTGCAGAAAGTTATTAAATTATGACGGAAGTGATGCAACAGCGCACAGTATGGCGGGAGCAATGGTGAAGTCACATTGGGTCTCGGACATTGCTGCGCAACAGACTAGCACCTGCTATCAATTCAACATGTAAAAACTTTCACTTGACAAAACACAATATCAACAAGCATACTTTACAAATATGTTTGAAGAAGTATGCCCGTCATTAATGTTCTCCACATTGGCAGTTACACGCTTCGGGGACGAATGATTGTGGTGTGACTCATACTTTTATTGCAAAACAAACAAACAAACAAACAAAAAAAAACGCTCAAGTTAGTAAAGTCAAGAAAATCTTTTTTCATCCACATATCGATCAAGTACCCGCTTCGCCGCAGGAGAGAAAAAAAAAATCTTGTGCATAGAGTTAAATTGGCTGTATCCAATTCACAATTCATCTGTTCTAGCAAGCAAGCTGCGAGCAGCAAGTGCCGGTTCATTCAAGTAATTATTGCAGCCAAATGCATTGCATGATGTAAAGCGTGAAATGAATTTGGGAAAACAAAAGCTTGGTTTAAAAACTTTGAATGCAGACAACCACCGTTTTCTCTCCTAGAAGGGTGCCTGCGTTAAATCAAAAGGAACTGCTGCATTACAAACTGTTTGAAATGCCACTGTCCAACAGCCCTTTAGCATGGAATGGCTTGCTTATTAAATTGAGTTCATTTTTATTCAAAGCACCTTTGTTTTTTACCAGATAATGTGCATAGTGTACTGTGAAGCAGCCTGTACAGACTCGCGACTCTACTTAAACTAAGTTTTATTATCTCACTGATGCCCCCATGACATTGTTGTAAATTGGCCAGTAGGAGACAGAGAATGTATTTGCGTGTGAGTGAGTGAGTGTGTGTGCTGTGGGTGTCGTGATGTACAAAACGTCGTCCTTTAAAAAGATGTCTACAATATTTCATTTCCCCCACGTCAATTGAAGACACTTGAATGCAGAAACTAGTAAACGTTCAAGAAAATGAATTTCCATTTTGCTTCAACCAGAGTGGTAAGGAGCTTCATTTCCGCAGTGTGTTGCCTCCTCAAGTTGTAGCAAATGTTGCAGCTTCATGCAGAGAATGTATGAAAAAATAAATCTGGTCCCATGGGGAGAGAAATACCGTACACGTCTTCTGTTCCTGAGTATGAGCGATGAAGAACGGTAGACTCTGAAGCTAAATTAGAATCTCTACAGAGTGTCTTCACTCAGCCTCCTAAAACAACAAAACATCAGAGAAAAAGCAAAACAATCAGAACCAAAACAATGACTTCCGGATTTGTTTGGTTCTTTCATTGTACCATTAGAAGTGGTTAGCACACAAGTCTTCTTGCATTCCTCCTCTGTGTCAAAGCGGTTCCTGTTACCGCTGCAGCCTCCAAACCAGAACTGAGCACATGCGTTGGCCTGCTTGTCATAGTACCATCGGATGGTGTATTCGCGGCACAAGCCCTGATCCAGAGCCAAGGCACAGCGAGGGTCTAAGGGCACAGTCGCTGCATAAAAACATGATGGGAGAGGTCATGGAAAAAGTTGTTTGCCATCTGTTGTTGACCTTTCCAGCAAATTACACCTGAGAGAGAGATGAACGTCTCTCGGATGATCATTCAATCACAACCCAGGAAACTACATCATGGAGACAGCGTAAAAAAATGATTGGCTTAACCTCGTTATCACACCTTGTAAGCCACAAAATGAATTACAGTAGATTATGTAGACATAATAAGCGGGATGAAGAGGGCCTTCATCTCCCAAAAAAAAAAAAAAAATCCAGTGCAACCAATCACCTCTAGAAGTCAAGTAACTGTGTGTAATCGAATGACTGACAGCTGTTTGGCAATGACTTAAGAGGTTCGTTAAAGAATGTGAGTGAACAAACAGCACTATGAAGCCAAAGGAACACAACAGACAGGCCAAGCATAACGTTGTCGAAAAGTTATTTTTTTTTTTTTCCAGTTACGTGTCTCAACAACATTATTAGCAGTTTTATTCTATAAATCAAATGTCGAATATGATTTTACCATTTGGCAGCAAACAGCAGTGGGGGCAATTCAATAAGGCCCTGTGACTGTAGATTGCTGCCTGAATGGAGTGACTATTCGACAGAGGGAACTCCTCCAGCACTGCAGACTACAAACCACTGTGCATGGCACACTGCATGACAATCAGCTCAGCAAACTGACAGCTACTCAAATTAGAGAGGTGAAATTGGAGGGACAACATGACAAGACTTTCTATGAGATGTATCGATTTGTAGCCCTATTTTGTTTTCTTCATCCAACCAAACATTTGGGAGGCAAATATTCTGGCTCACAGTCTCTGTACTTCATTAACTCATTCCGCAGGTGTTTTAATTCCTGGGTGGCGGTCAGGACCAACAAGTTTTTCCATACGAAACTCATTCGATCGTAGGGCTGTGCACGAATCGGTGGTGGATTGAATTGGTTCGCGAATTGGCAATTAAAAACAAACGCTAACTGAGTATTTCCAGATTCGAGTCAGATCACACACACGCACAAGCAGCTGGCTATTGAGCATTAAATTCAACTGTTAAGCAGGCAATGGGTGGACGGTTGGAAGAACACCTGAGGTTCTGCTGTTGGACAGTGTACGACAGAGGGATCCTGGAGGTGAAAGTAAAGGTTGATGCGGCGTTGATGTTAGCGCATATTTACACATGATCGATTTTCAAAAAAGTGAATTTGAGGCTTGGCAAAGCGCTTTGGACAACATATGGTGTGGATAAAGCACGATAAAAGTGCACCTCATTTACCATTGTGGTAAAATCATTTTTTGGGGGACCATCTATGATGTGTTTTTCGGCAAAAGTGCAATTTGTAATCCTTTCGAAAGGATTCGGGATTCAGTGGTTAAATGGTTAACGAAAAGTGATAGCGGATTTGAGGTAGGGGTCCAGCCCCTATCCAATCATCATTATTGTGAATCTGCATCATTGTGGTTGTTATGGTAAAAGATTTGATTGTTCGATTCAACCATGGACTTTGCTTTGCGCATTTGGATCATAGTCATACTGGAACTGAAAAAGGCCTTTCTGAAACTGACAAATTGGTCAAGAGGCATGTTTCAATATTTGTCCATCTTGAGTATGGCAACAGCAACTGATTACATTACAGCAATTATGTCGACCTGCTGAAAGCAACTGCAATTTTAGAACTCCTATTCGTAGAGTCTACCTTTGGGAAGAGCTGGTCTTGGTGTTGGAATCGACTTCACAGAAACGCCTGACGATGACGATGTTAAGTTTACAGAAGAAGAGTCCTCTCTGGAAGGAGGAATGCGTTGGAATGCTGTGCCACGGTTAAAGGTGTCCCCACGTTCAGTTCCTCGGTGTGTCGTCTCTGCGTGCACTTGCTAAAGGAGAAATGACAAAAGTTCACTTTATCTTTTCTGCAATTGTCGATCCAATTTTACATTTGCAATGACTGCCCATACTTGTCCTGTGCTGGAACCTTTCTGGTCATACTGGAAGGTGGCCACACTGTCCCCATGGTTCCGGTTGTTGGACTGACGGGTGTTCAGGAGTTCCCAGTCCGTGGCGGGCTGGTACCTATTGACGCCTTCGGCATACCTCCCATTGTTACCATTCCTGCTGTTGCTATGGCCATTGTTTCCATTTGTTAGTCTGTTATATATCAAGTCTCCATTCTCGTCCTCACAGAACTGGCTGACCAACTTGGATTCCAGAGCTGCGACAGAGCCACAACATAAAAACCTGACATTATGGAGTGCCCTGTCTGTGAGATCCGTCACCCAAACCGAGCAACCCCACATTCCAAAGAATAATTACTTGGATTTACAGTCTTGCATGGGACTTCAACAAGCAACGTGTGTCAATGAATTTCACTAATTGAAGATTCAGGATGATTTATCATTTTACAACATATGACATGAAAGGGAATCTTTTGTGTGTCCTAATAACATGTCTGTCACATGATTACATCAAAATACCGCAATGGTCAAGAATAATGACATGTTTCACCGCCTTTTTTGGCCCTCACTGACATTGGCCTTTATTGAGGGGGTGGTCTACTCTGACCTGGTTTACTGTCGGTTTCCGTTCCCATGATGACTCAGAGCGGTGCTAAGGAATGACTACTTGCTCAGCCCAGAGTCTCAAAAAAGCAAATGTTTGGATTGTGTTTTCACTCCTATAGGCAGCATTTCATTACCAGGCCTCCAAATTCCATTCACAATTCATGTAGCAAAATCGGGAGAGGGTTGGGCGGGTGGACAGTGAGGGGTGATTAAACAGCAGGGTGTGTGTGTGTGTGTGTGTGTGTGTGTGTGTGTGTGTGTGTGTGTGTGTGTGTGTGTGTGTGTGGGAGGAGTGGTAATCTTTGAAGTCGTTGTTGAAATTCATCTGGGGTAAAAGCTGCAGGGACTTATCGTCAAGAAGAAGACTATCTTAGCTGGACAATCTGGTCAACATTGCTCCATATTTGAGAATGTGCTGGTTATCAGAACTTAACACTGATCACTGAACACTGCTGAAGATTCAATGGAATAAAAAAAAAAATGTTCTCATTGTAAATTCGACTAAAAACAGCTGAATACAATAAGGGCACCCATATAAAAACGCTAATAATCGTTTACAAGTCAAATACAAATCGCTTATTAATGTCATCACCATAAACTCTGTAAATCAATAATGAGCACTTCAAATTGATGTGCAACTAGCTTCATTTTTTTAACAAGTTCAAGCAATTAACTGTTACTCTTCACTAGGCTTGACGAGGGTTTTTGATCAGCAATCAGTGATTAGGAGGTTTTAAAAAAAAAAAAAAGAACCCCGATCACTGATTCCATCAGAAAATGGAGCAATATAGCTGTTTCAACAACTTGTATCTTTACTCTACAGTCGATCCTCAACATTGTGAAAATGAATTGGAAAAAATCATTTCAACCTCCCCAAGCTTGATTCAAAAAGCATTGATAGACGTTAAATATAACATGTACCGTTTACATGTTTAAAATTTCTCCTTCTCTGCCGCGTGTGTCACGTTGTGTTGAAGTAGCAAATTCTCAAAACTGTTTGGCTTCGGTTTAGCTGCACAGATCTATCTACGCAAACCATCCTCACTTGATATGTAATCTCGTTACAATTGCTCAACTCACGTTCGGCATGACCGCCGTGTATCTCGTCTCTCAACAAGGGAGCTATTGCCGTGTTTGTTTAAGCCACACACCTCTGTTAAGTATCAGAATCTAAGGTTCATAATGACGATAGAATTTTGACATTTCATAGAGCTGCTACCGCTCCAGCAAAACGGCAAATATTTACGGTGGGCTCACTATTTGGCAAGGTGAGATCAAGTACATCTCTCATTTTTCAGTTGCTCTGCTACTTTACTAAGTATTTATGAAGTAGTAATAAAGTGATACCCATTTTGGAATAAACCTTTGTAAGAGTAATCTCATCATAGTCGTAAATGGTCCCCAAAACTGTAACACCCTCATACCTGTTTGGAATATTACTCTTCTCTTTAAATAAAAAGCTCAAATGTGTGTATTTGTAAAAAAAAAAAAAAAAAAAAAAAAAAAAGACAATAATGTCATGACTGCAATATTTTTACCTGGCAAGGTGTTGAAGTCATCAATGAGGAACATGTGCTCAGGGTCAGGGTCAGATGCGATCAAGTTGAGCTCCCTAAGAAACTCTGCCTGTGTTGGGTCCGAGGTGTTGACAATACCAAGGGCAAACATTTCGATATTCGCAGCGTGTGCTTCTCGTACGGCAATATCAAGCTTCACCGGCTCCCGTTTGTCCGCCTGTCCATCAGTAATAACGATGGCAACTTTGCTGACTCCCAGGCGTGAACTGTGGAACGCTTCCTGGGTCGCTTTGCGGATGGCCGTACCAGTGTAGGTCCCCTCTCCCATGTACTGAATGCTTCTAATGGCCTGTTTGATGTCTTGTTTGGTTGCGTAGCGGGCCAGGTTGAACACCAGCCTGACTTCCAGGCTGTACAGTACCAGACCGATCCTGGTGGAGTTGCGACCCACCGTGACTCGGTCCACCAGTGCGTTGACAAAGTCTTTAATGATCTCAAAGTTTTCTGGCCCCACGCTCTCGGAGCTGTCAATGACAAACACCAGCTCCATCGGCCTCTCCTTACACTTGATCCCGCATCCTGGAATGAGAAAACGAGAAGGAGAAAACTGAAAAAGAGATTGTGGGGAAGATGATTTTGGAATTTGATTTCAACTGTGGCATCCACTGACACCACAATAATATCAAACTGCAGGTGCACCTAGGTTACAAGAAAACGCATCACCGTAATCCCAAAAAATAGAGATATTTGGCTTTTGGGTGAAAATGAACACTAATTTGACTTTATCTTAAAATGTCCAACTGTTCAATCTTTAAGTACTTTTTGCACAACTTCTCTGTTTTCTATCGAGGAGCTGAACCAATAACTTTCCAAGGATGCCTTTCTGTGACTCTTCCAGCCTCATTTTATCTCTCTTACAAAGTGCTCAAGGCGCTGACGATTGTTTCTGAACTCAGTGACCGCTTCCCTTTGAGAACACCCTGTTTTAATCTTCGCAATGACAAGGCACTGCGAATCATGCAATCATGATTATCATTCAATCATGATTTTTGGCTCGGTCTCATGTCAAAATGTAAAAAGTACTGAAACACCAGTTGGACATGTGCATTCAAAAATTGACAGGAGGTCAAATAAGGCTGACATATAAAAGTTAGATTTCATTTTAGGCTCATCCTGAAATTTCGGCCTGAAAGCCAAAGTCCCCTTAAACTTTTGTGAGCAGTCCATGATTTGGTTTAGAACAGTGGTGTCAAACATATGGCCCACGGGCTGGAACCGGCCCCCAAGGAGGATCGATCGGGCCCGCAGGATCATTTAAAAGTGAAACAAATGCATAAAAGACACGGAATGAATGTTTTTAATCAGGTGAAATTTTTTGATGTTTTGATCAGAGTAGAAGACAACAGCAAGCTCAGTCTGTCACTGAGACAGACCCAACACAGCAGATGCTATAAAGGACATGTGAATACTTTATTCTTTACACATTTAATAGCACTCTCCTTAGTTTGTAAGGTGTTGGCAGGGATTAAATTTAGATTTTTATATGCACATGTGTAAATGGTTTAAAAATTCCATCCTTTATAAATTTCGTTTAATCTTAAAATGCATTACTATATTTTTCAATTACTTGTTTAAGTTTTGTGCCTTTATACAATCAGTGGGATCAGTTGCAATGCATATATGTGAATGATAAAAGTAAATTGCACGTTTGTCGAAGGAAATGTAAGGTGCTTCATGAAATGTTTTGTAAAAGATATGGTCATGAAATTTCAACATTTTCCTACATGGCAGTTCTTGTGCTTCTTTAGACCAAAACAAAGGAAAGACATATTATGTTGGTTATTTATAGCAGAGTATGGTATAATTTTAATGGTCCGGCCGACTTAACATCGACCGAGGCCATATGTGGCCCACAATGTCAAATGAGTTTGACACCCCTGGTGTAGAAAGTAAATGCCTTATCCCAACTTCGACAAACACCTTACCACATATTTCTCTGATCAATCTGATGACGTCCTCCCTCTGTAATCAATACAAAATTCACTTAGCACCTCCATAGATGAGATTAGAACCCAAAGAAAAACAGGATGAAAAAGGGAGACTCACCGTGAGGCCTGCTTCTCCTTTTACACCAGATCGACCCTGAGATGAAAAAAGACCTTTGATTAGTGACATTTCAACGGGTGTATTTGTAATGAGCAGCTCGCACAGGAAATTGTACTGACGGGTTGCCCCGGGTTCCCTGGGTCACCCATATCTCCTTTGAAGCCCTTCAGGCCCCTCTCCCCTGCAGAACCACGGTCACCCTGTCACACAGGCCGCAACCTCAGCAACGGAACACTTTCATGCGTAGAAATTTGAAAAGTCCAAGATTGCAAGCACTTTAGCTCCAGGAAAGCCTTCTCCAGCGGGCCCCCTTGATCCTGTCACACCCTGGACTCCCTGTTCACCCTAGAAAAATTACATGGATAAACAAAGAAAAATCAAAAAGGTTCTTTTTTGGTTTTGTTTTTACAGGCTTATTGAATGAGTGTGACAGAATCAATAGATAATAATCTACCTTTGGTCCTTGGACTCCAAATCCTGGTGGGCCCACTGGCCCGAGGGGTCCTGGTCGGCCGGGAAGACCCTGTAGCACAGAGTATCCAGGTTAGAATCACATTTCTTTTTCTATAGCGCTGTGCATGATTCCCTTTGACCGGATGTTTTATTTCAACCACTAAAGCAGTGGTTCTTAACCCTGTGAGAGGTACCGAACCCAACAAGTTCATTTGCGCATTCACAGAACCCTTACTGAAAAATAAAAATCGGATTCAAGAAGTGTTCCTTCACTTTTGGCAGTGCAAGACTAGAGTTGCTCAACTTGGCATGACAAATCATGCAGATAGGACCCTGGGTCCCATCGCGGTCTGTGATGCATGTTTTACATGTTCGTATGACCACTTTATTTTTTTGCTCGACATAGTTAGCATGTATTAAAACATTCTAAAAACAAATCACACAACGTACGATCACGACCATCACACATTGACACACTGATCGGACAAGCAATGTAATGTGATCGTCTGCAGCCAGTGATGGCCAAGCGGGCGTGTCATAACATTGACATGTTGAGTCGGGTGTATCTTAACCTCCATGGCAGAGGCTCCGTCGAACCCCTGAGACCGATTCACCGAACCCCTAGGGTTCGATCGAACCTAGGTTAAGAACCACTGCACTAAAGGAAACAACAGCAGCAATGTCTTTATTCTGTAATTATGGACTCTTTCCCTTTCTGCCAAGACTGTATGAAGGGTCATCAATCCATCCATCCATTCTATGAAACATTGTACTTTCATTGCTATCGCCCCTCTGCTGGTACAATCTGCAAAAATGCAGGTTCACACCCTGGGGGACTTCTGGATGGGATATTTGAAGGCATATGCGTGTTACATCTGCTAGTTTTCCGAAGCCAAGCATCAGATGCACAACCTAAATAACATAATAACTAACCTATAAATATGCGTGCATGGAATCCACTCGACCTAGAATTGCACTAATGGACGTTAGATACACTGAGACCATGTTGTGCATTATTTTTCTCAATGTGTTTGACAAATAGTTGTTTTGAAAGTAAAAACGTACCTGAGGTCCTGGCAGTCCTTCACCCGGAGGTCCCGGTAAACCAGGCAGCCCTCGGAAACCAATGTCCCCCTAAAGCAACAAACACCCGGTCAAGAACAGATGAACAGTTGCAGCAAAGCAATTTCCAATTAATTATTATTCATTTTTTGGGCGTTGAGTTTGCCTTGTCCAGGTTGCTGTCTGCTGCCAGGTCAGCATTGCAAAAGAGAATCTGGCCTCAATTGCTTTACCACGATAAAAACAGACGAATTAATGTTAAATAAAGATGTAAAATAACTCGATTTGAAATGGAAAATCAGTTTTGATTGAACTGAAGCAAATCAAATCGTTACATTTTAAAATTTGTCATCCTTGAATGTATCAAATTGTCTCTTATGAGCGATAAACACCAGGTATAAATCGGATTAAATTGTTTTGATGTTCCTGATGATTTGTTGCAGCATTCAATTGAATTCATTTGAATAGTTTGGGCAAGGCAACCGGTTCAGGGTGTCCCCCACCTACTGCCCGAAGACAGCTGGGATAGACAGCATGCCCCGCGACCCCTGTGAGGAGCAGCGGACCAGAAAATGGACGGATGGATGGATAGTTTGGACAAGGGAGAGCGTTTACATGTTGTTCCAGACTATAAATCAAATCCTAATTGCTCTGAATATAACTAATTTGATTCACTCTGCTTGAAAATGTGCCGCTCTTGAATGGATTTGTAGCCCACATTTGAATAAGCTTTTATTGAAGAGAGGCATATTTTCTGGAGAAAAAAAAAAACATTCTGAAAAGAAGTGCCTCATTGTATTCATTGGTATTCATCTCCACATTCAAACATGACTTTGAAAGTAAGCAAACAGAAATATGCCTTTATCGAATACAGGAAGAGGCTTCATAATTTTTTGATGCAACATTCACTTTTTTGTTGTATTTTGAATTCCTAAATGTTTCTTTCTATTTTTCATCTTATATAGAGGCCGTCACCTTTGGACCAGGAAAGCCTATCCCATCAAGGCCAGTTTCTCCTGGAAGCCCAGGTAGACCAGGGGGGCCCTGAAATAAATAAATAAATAAATAAAATAAAATAACAAATAAATAAATAAATATAAATACGTATAGCATAAAAAGAAATACAGATATATAACAAATAATGCAGTGAATTAAAACATAGTCTGTCACACATTTTGTAGCGTCAGTATGGTAAATCATTTGAACTGCATTGGCCTTTGTTGTTCTTACTGCATTTAATTTGCTTTGATTATAATCAGTGAATTCTGGTTCAGGATGGCATGGTGGTCAACTGGTTAGCACATCCATCTCACAGTACAGAGGTGCAGGGTTTGATTCCGGCCTTCCTGAGTGAAGTTTCATGTTCTCCCTGTGCCTGCGTGGGTTTTCCCCAGGTCCCCCGCCCCCCCCCCCCCACACACACACATTCCAAAAACGTGCACACTCAAAATTGTCCCTACACGTGAGTGTGAGCGTGAATGGTCGTTTGTCTCTGTGTGCTATGCAATTGGCTGGTAACCAGTTCAGGGTGTACCCTGCCTATTGCCCAAAGATAGCCGGGATAGGCTCCAGCACGCCCGTGACCCTCGTGAGAATAAGCGGATCAGAAAATGGATAGATGGATAATTCTGGTTCATAGCTCAAAGCATTTACCAAAATGTTGGGCAATCAATGACTAAGTGATGGGTGTAAAGCTAAGTATGCAAAGTGTTGGGAAGAAGATTAATGGTGGAAGTGAACAGGTTTATGGGCAGACGGAGAAGTCCATGTGTAAATCACCATGGGGCCGGGATAGCCTTCTCCTTTTGGGCCAAATGGACCTGCAGGGCCTGGATCTCCATGGTCACCCTATGGCACATGGATATAGATATAAATAAAGCTGCCCATCCTACAGTAACGTATGTATAGAACCAGCTTGTTGTTGTAAATCAGTCGAAGCAAGTGGGGTTTCACCTTTGGACCGGGAAGCCCATAGCCACTCTCCCCAATCGGACCAGGAGGGCCGCTTGGTCCAACATCACCCTAGAGTACAAGTTACAGCTCATGTTAGGAGGTGACAGCAACTCACTTGACATCAGTATCATCTTGTCTCTTTTCACAGCCTCAATAGTACTATACACGAATAAGCATTCTGGCTTTAGAAACTGAACTTACCTTGGGTCCTATTACAAATCGTCCGGGTGGACCAGGTAAACCCACCCTGCCTTGTGACCCAGGTTCACCCTTGATAATTCAATGAAGACAGTAGAGGGTGTGTTATTTGTCATTCCTTTTTGATTCGTGCAATTAGAGACTTTCTCTGTGATTTGTATTCAAACTGTCCATCTGGAAGTGCATTCTGTTGTCGGCTTAACGAATCCTCACCTTGGGGCCTAACGGGCCACTAATGCCAGGTGGCCCGGTCAAGCCTCTTATTCCCCTTTGACCTTGGTCACCCTTAATGGTCAAATGGAAAATCCAGTCATTATTTACTTATGTACAGCTCAACAATGTCCAACAACAAAGAAAGGAAACTTAGTTTACCTTTTCACCTTGCGTTCCAGTTCCTGGTGACCCTTCTGTCCCCCTAAGGCCTGGAGCTCCTGGCTCACCCTAAAGTCACAGAGCACAAGGGCATGTTCTCCATGCTAACTAAATTCTACAGTTTGGTCCATGGGTATTGGGACAATGACAGAGGTTTTATAAATATGCATTGACATAACACAACAATGGAACAGTGAAAAAAGGTCAAGGCGCTTGACTAATTTCAGTGGTTTCACACAAAATATATGCAGACTTTGATCCGTTTTCTGTACTGCTAATCGTGTTCAGGGTGGCACAGAGCTGGAGCCTTACCCTGCTGACTCCAGGCCAAAAGGCAAACTCCACCCTGGCTTTCTTGTCAGTCAACCAGTCAACCACACACATCAGTGGAACTTTATAAGGGTCACAGCCACAATTTTTTGTGTGGTGGCAAGTGTGACAAAACAGCTCCATGAGGCGCTTCTATACGCCTTCGTAACCCAGAAGCCATTGTTTATCATACCATCCACAGTCGGGGCTTCATGAAATCAAATGTACAGTTGACACCTACAGAACGTTGCCCAACAAACAAGTGGCAGTATATCAAGGGATTTATGAATAGGAGCTACTGCATCCATGTTGAAAGGCCAGAAAAGTAACAGGTATCAAAATCTTTCCATTCAAATGTGCATAGCCAGAGAGGAGCCACCATGTCGCGCCGCCCCTGGACTTTACTGTACAGTGTCAAAATAGATTTGAGACCCCCATTATGTACAAAATGTTTGTAACCTCAAATTAGAAAAGAGGATGTTTTTGTGAAGCATATCAATCACATGTTGATTGTGTTATTTCTAAGCCATTGTGGTGGTTTAAGAAGGCAAAACCGTACAAAGTTTGTATTCCTGTTGTGTGACGTGTACGGACTCCTGAGAGACTAAAACCATGAAGAGCTCAAAGCTACCTTCTGCCCAGGAGCTCCGTCCTCCCCTGGTAAACCCGGCAACCCCGATATTCCTGGTGATCCTTGCTCACCCTGAGCACAAATGTCAAATCCATTTCTCATTGGTAATGTTTTGCAAGTGTGAGATTGAATGGAATCAGTGCTGAAATTTGACCACCACACACCTTATTTCCATGTTCTCCAATTCCTCTCTCTCCTGGGGAGCCAACTTCACCCGGCAATCCCTGGTCTCCCTGATTCAAACATAGTAAGAACATAGCGGATGGAGAGCCTTAAATATGTCAGAATAGAATATTGATAGATATTTATTTATTTTTCAGCCGAGGATTGGAAATGGCCATCAAAATTAAGAAGGTGTACATTTTAGTCTAAATTGCGATTCTTCTGACAGTTTGCAATTAAAATATCCTGATTTGTTGTACAAACCTTGGGCCCAGGTAGACCTTCTCCCTGTGGACCTCGGAACCCTGGTGGCCCTCTGGGACCTTCAATGCCCTGAAATATTTTCAGTTATCATATAATCTGAGATTTACAAATTTGACTCAAACATAGAACAGACTGCGTCAATGAAAAATGTTCAAACAGCACTCATTGTGTACTTGCCTTCTCACCCTGGATGCCCAGACCTGGTAGGCCGACGAGGCCTGGAGGACCAGGAGGGCCAAACTCCCCCTTTGTGAACACAGATTAGTCATGACACTGACATATATTTTGGTAGGTTGCATTACACTTTGGGCTCTGTTTTCATAGACTGCGCATCTGCTGTGGAAAACAAATGCCAGCAGATCCTGACATTTTTATCGGGCGGAAGGCTTAATATTTGGTACCAAACTTGACGGGCAGGCGCAGTAGAGGGAGTAGCTGGGAGATGTGGAAAATTACAATTTGGTGGCAGAAAGTCAATTTAAACCGTAGGCCTGCTCAGACCACTCGTAACACCGGTGCAAGGTAGACAGCTGATCTTATGTGACATAGGCATCCACTTTCAAATTCACTTATTCTCACGAGGGTCGCCAGTGTGCTGGAGCCTATCCCAGCTGTCTTTTGGCAGTTGGCGGGGGACACCCTGAAACGGTCGCCAACCAATCGCAGGGCACACAGAGACGAACAACCATCCGCGCTCACACTCATACCAAGGGACAATTTATTTTAGAGTGCTCAATCAGCCTGCCATGCATGCTTTCGGAATGTAGGAGGGAACCGGAGTACCCAGAGAAAACCCACACAGGCCTGGGGAGAACATGCAAAGTCTAAACAGGAAGGCCGGAGCCGAACCCATGACCTCTGCATTGTGAGGTCGGCGCAGTAACCACTGGACCCCCGGGCCGCCTCTCTCTCTCTCTCTCTCTCTCTCTCTCTCTCTCTCTCTCTCTCTCTCTCTCTCTCTCTCTCTCTCTGCATATGTCAGTAAAGCATATGCCATTGTAAGACCAATGTCAAATACATTTGAAAAGTTGAAAATGTAACAAACCCAACTTTCCCACATTCATCAGTTTGAAACAGTGAAGCTTCTCCATTGTTGTCCAAACTTTGAGCTCCATTCATCACTTGCCCCTGTCTTACGCTTACATAGAATATGACCCCCTGGAAAATGCCTTCATTGGTGGATGCCAACCCTTGAATGTCTACACAGCTTTATCTTCATGCCTTTGGGAAACCTACACAACCAGACTTCTTATTTATGGCCTTTTTTTCTTCTTTAATGTACCTTGTCTCCTTTAATTCCAAAACCCGATAGTCCTCTGGGCCCCCGTGGCCCCTCCAAGCCTCGCTCCCCCTATGAGCAGTGACAAAGAAGTTACTCCATGGCAGATAGAGTGAACATATGTTCAGAACATGTGAGCATGAAGACAGCCTAAGCTTATCTCGTCAAAGAGGTGCCTGTGGTTGCTAAGATGTTGATTTCATTTCTTGTGTTGACCCTCTGATATTATCCTACCACCTGAGGCACTAATGTGTGGAAAGAAAGGTAATTTTGCTTGGAGCCGCTGTGACTCAGCAGCTTGCTCAGCCGTGTAAAGATTGCTTTAAAATGAAAACATCATCTGTGAGTCCACAGTTAAGTCTTCATTGAGAATAAATACCAGCAACAGTTCGAAAAATCTTGAGGGGTTTTGCTGTGGCACTGAACATCTTGGTGAACTTTCTATAAAGCCTAGACTTTATTTTTTCTCAAAAAAAGTTTGCGAGAAAAAATTGTGTACATTATCCATCTCGGTCCATATGACTAATAAATATTGTACTCTTCGCAGAACGAAGCACCCACTCTATCATGCGTCACACCATAATGTCTCAGGCTGTCTGTCGACAGCCATGGCATCATTCCAGGTGACTGCTGCTTGTTCACGCCCTCCAATGAGCACAACCACGGGCCAGATCATATGTTGAGCCAATGGCAGGCATATTGCATTTACGAATGTAAATCACCAGAAGGGCTTTGTGTAATTCATACTTGAAAAAATATTTGTCATCAGTCTTCTGCTATAGCACCTTGCAATCTGGGTCTTGGCTTACAACAGTGGATGGAGTTGTCAGTTGAGTTGAAAATTAATGCATGACATAAATTATGGATCGACTAATGGGGGCAGGCATTATTCCATAAAGGTCAGATTACCTACCTTTGGGCCAGGGAAACCTTCTCCCAAAGGCCCTCTTTCTCCTTGGATACCCTGTGGCCCTTGAGGCCCCTGAACAAAAAGAAAGAAAAACAATAATATACAAAGTTGAGGCAATACAGTTTTCTAATAGAACCTACATTTCCTCCAAAACATTAATGTACTATGACAAATTTTAAAGCAAGAGTGCTGATTGTCAGGCTTTAACAATTTAATTTGCAAAACAATTTAGATTTTAATGTACTGCACCAAGCAAATTGACCGGATCCAACTTAAATTTTGTCCAAAAAGCCTCCAGATATTATTTTACACCTAATATTATGAATTTTTGGCATTGGGTGTGGCCATGACCATGTTGCAAATTGACTGATGATTCGCAGTGACAACAAAAGCTGCTGTAAATTGACGCAAATGAACCTGTCTTCTCAAAACTTCACTAATTGATTACGAGTCCAGGCTTGAAGAGAGCTCTGAATTTCTTTTTCATCATGGCGGTGACCCCACCGACTGGCAAAAGGAAATCTACAGTATGTTCTATTCTTTGATGTTGTTCTCCAAGCCAACTAACCAGATCTACAGCACCTCATTTTTTTTGTAAGAGTTTTTAGGACTTCATGAACAATGCTGATTTTGAGGGTCTCAACATGCACGAAAATTCATGAAAAAAAAAATCATAAAACACACATCATGCCTGACATAAAGTTCAATATTTCAGAGATTTATGTTGTAATATTGAGAAGTATGTTGTAATGTAACAGCAAAAAAAAAGTATTTTAGAGCCATATCTGACACCTAACAGGAAGTCCACCATTTGGATTTTACTTTGGAACTTGGTGCCATTTTTGGCCTTTTATCGAGGTCATATTTAATCTTCAAACTGGTTGTTTCTACTAAGGATGCTGAAGATGAAAAGTTATTGAAATATTTATTTTGTTGCGCACTGTTGCTGTGGCGACACGTTGTTTGCAAAGATAAATTAGGCCACGTTTGAGTGTCTAAACCTGGGTGAAAACTAATGAAACTGCTCATACATCAAGTCTGGCATAAACATTTTGATCTTAGAGATTTCTTGCGTGATTTTAAATAAATGTTTCAGGAGGGTCCCCAAATCTCCATTGACACCCCCGCCTCCCCCCTCTAATTTTTAACAAAGGATTTTAGTTTGTACGTTTCACCTACATCTGCGAAAATTGGAAGGCGTATGTAACAAAAGTCTTTTGGAGACATTTGCTAAACCCAACAGATAAAAAGTTGCTGAAATGTTTTTATGTCGTCGCAGGCTGGTGCCATGGTGATGCATTGTTTGCAAAGCAAAATGAGGCTGTTTTTGAAGCTCTAAACCTGTGTGAAAACTCATGAAACTTTGCATGCACATAAGGCCTGGCAGAAACTTTTAGGTCTGCTGTAAATTTAGGCCAAAGTTCCTGGTACCACATTGAAAAGAAAGAAATAATACAGGTGAAAACATAACCTTCTTGGTTGAGTGGCTGTGTAAGCTGCCACTATTTGCACTCTATGTCTGGAATAGTTTTGATGACTCACCGGTGGTCCAGGTTCACCAAGGCCCACTGGACCGACTGGCCCTGGTTGACCCTGGTGCCCAACATTTCCCTGTGGAGTTGAGCACAAACAAATAAATTGTAGACATTTCATTTTTAATTGATATTTTGGTCTAACAGTGAAACGTTTGGGGCTCGAAATTCATCTCATGCCTTTTGTGTTAGGTTTGCTCATTGTTTAAAAGTTATGGGTACTGCGGTTTATTGTCACGTTTCACTAAATGCATGTTTGGTTAATTGAAGAGTCAAAATTGTACACAGGTTGGAATGTGAGTATGAACAGATGTTTGTTTTGAGAGTACGCGTTCCCAGTCCAGGGAGTTCCCCTCTGGCCCAAAGTCAGCTGGGATAAGCCCTATCAAACTTGCTCCGACAATCCGAAACATGGTTCCAAGGTTCACTGAATGAGCGCCATCTCGGAGGATTCACCAAACTTTTTGAAAGTGACAGCTACTTCTTGGGCAATGATTAATGCTCATTAATGAATGAACTTAAAATATGAAACATTACAGGAAATCAATTTTTATTGCTCTCTGCCACGCTGTAAATATAATACGAATTGATGGAAATGAATGGGATTGCAGCATTCTCCATAGGAATCAATGGAAAAATTTACCTTTTGTCCTGGGAGCCCGATTCCTGTCTCCCCTTGGATTCCAGATGGACCAGGAAGTCCTCGTTCGCCCTATGAAAAGAGAGGCAGTCAAACACTAAAGTGCAATGGATTTGTGAAATCACTTGGACATTATTGAACATTTGGAACGCTAAACGGACATTATTAACATTCATAGATTTGGTATGTTTTCATGTCACGAGTGCACAAGAGGACGACGCATGAGAGACATCAAGAGGGTGCAGGGCTGTCTGCAAATGAACTCTCACTGCAACTATTTTGTCTTTGCCCGACCCTTCCAGACAAGTTGGAACAACGCTAAATCCTACACATTAGTCTGTTATTCACGCAATATGGGATGACAGGCAGACAATCAACAGACACATTCTTCCAAAATAATTAAGTAGTGAACAGTGGAAGGATTGGAAGTACGGGCTTGTAGCTCAATTGGCAGCTCCAAAACACAGCTGGGGGCTCAGAGGGTAGAGAACAGACAAATAGAATGACAAGGCAACAGCAGATGTGATTCTTAGGAAGGATTTCACACTACAATATGTAATCAATTGATCAGTCAGGGCGTTTGCCTTTGGAGTTATAAATGGCAAATTCCTTCTATTTTCACTTCTATTAAGTGGAATGGTCATTATTTCCAACACTTTGATGTGTGATTATGTTCCCAAGTCACTGTTCTGAAAAACATGCTTGGTGGAGGAGCTGACATTTGCAGGCAAACAAGGAAAAAAATGGGGTGGGGTTGATGCCTTGCTCAAGGGCACCTTGGCGGTAGGCAGGAAGCAAACATGGAACTCCCCAACCATGAGTTGCCATTTTTACATTTTGTCTGGAACAGGACTCGAGTCTTTGCAGATGAACTAATTCAGTGTTATAGCGTCATTCTTGTCCACAACGATGGTATCAGAATTAGTTTTACAATTTGGCAAATTATCTTTGGGGCCAAAAGGAGAAAGAACAGAGTTAGACAATTTGTCTATGCTAATGAGTTCACAGACACTGACTCAGTGACGCCATTGTGAAACAGAATCTACCGGTAATTGCAACCAGACAGGGAAAGAGTTTATGCAGTCATCTCATATGGTTTTGAAACTGACGGTGACCTTTAATCAGTTGTCTTAGGGAGGAAACGGGAATATGAAGTTTGGCATGACGTGATTCACCATATGGATAAATACAAGCAGCAGAATTGTAGAATGGTGACTTAGATCTTTGTTACTCTCCAACACTCACATTACATGATCAGCTCCGATACAATTTTATCATTGACATGTGAATTTTTGTACATTTGTTTAGTTGAGGTTCAGGTCCAAACATCTCTTGTGCTTGCATTTTGATCTTCAATGTGTATACAGTGTTGCATATTCCCAGTCAGTTGCCTGAAAACGATCATGAAATAGCTTACTTTTTTGCCAGCCACACCTTCAGGTCCAATATCACCAGGAGGACCAGGCAAACCCTGGACATGGAATAAATTCATGGTCACGGTTTGATAGTGGCATTTAAAACATTTGTTGGGTTATGTGAAACACAACTGAATTTAACACCACAAGATTTAGTGGATGGTAAAACAGAAACAAAAGCACACTTTTTGTGTTACTGATTAATACTTTTACTTGATTAAAATCCTCAATTTGTTCAGTAAGAACTGGAAACAGATCTACTGAGTGAATAAATTAATGAATAAGAAACAAATCAGAAAATCTGCTTTGTCGAACACGATTTTACCTGAAGTCCACGATTTCCCCTGGGGCCAATGGACCCTTCAGGACCCTTTAAAAAAAAAAAAGTTGCCCGTTATTAATAGCAACAGCTGTTCAAAATCAATAAAGTGAATGAAAATATGAAGAATAATTCATGCAGTGCGAGGAAGAGAAATGGAGTTATCCGTATAGTTTGAAAAATACAGAAATATATCATAATATTATAAATACTTTTTGATATAAATTATAAGTAGTATTTGATATAAATGGTTCATGATGAAATGGTTGACACAATCGGAGAACAACATACTCTGTCTCCCTTGATTCCAGGAGTGCCACATTCTCCTCTCTCCCCCTAAAAGAGAGTAAAACCCAAAGTGTAGACATGAAATGGAATAGCATTATCACTGTTGTCCAAGCTGCATATCCTCACGAGGGTTACAGGCATGCTGGAGCCTATCCCAGTTGTTTTCGGGTAGCAGGAGGGGTAAACCCTGAACTGGTTGCCAGCCAATCGCAGGGAACACATGGACGAATAACCATTTACAGTAATGCCTAGGGGTAATTTAGAGTATTCAATGAACCTACCGTGCATGTTTTTGGAATGTGGGAGGAAACCGGAGTACCCGGAGAAAACCCACCCAAGCATGGGGAGGACATGCCTGGAATATCATGGTTCTGTTTTGTTCATGTTTCAGTTGCTTCTGGAGTGGAGGGCGTTCCCTCCAGCGGCGCACCTGTCATGCCTTCTAATCAGCGGACGACTTAAGGACCCCTTGCTGTCGGATTATTTAGCCTTGCTTACGACTTGTACTAAGTGCTTGTTTATTCCAGACACTTCTTGATCTCGCCTCGTAGTCTCTCATCAGGTTTTTTTTTTTTTTTAGTATTATACTTGTTTTGTATTATATGCAAATTGGATTTCCTTGTCGTTTTGTGACAAGCAATTTACATTTATATTTGTGCTTGCCTTTTGCAAGCATTTTTGGTTTGTCTTGTTTTGTCCTGGTTCTTTGTTCCCAGCTTCTTTTGTTGTACTTTGTCTGTCTTGTTTTGTAAATAAAATTTTTCTCCACTCTTATCTCTGTCTATGTTTGTGGAATCCGATTCTGTTGCAGAATACTCCGGAACTCCTGACACAGAAAGGCCGTAGCCCGGAATCATAGCCTTTTCAATGTGAGGCGGACGTGCTAACCAGTCCATCACCATTTTGACGTCTGGGCCAGGAGTTAATGCAATCCGGAGCATGTTGGTCCAAGACGTCCAAGAAAAGTGCTATAACCAAAGAGGCGAGACGATAATAAAATGGAAAATATTTCATCATAGGTGTTTGTACATTACCTGTTCTCCTTTGTATCCTGGTCTGCCCTGTGTAAACCAAACAGCCTTGATCAAAACCAACATATTTTCTATGTTTTTTCCTCATGATTTCTTACATTGCAAACTTGATTAAAAATAATATTCATAAATAAGAGTTGGGACTCACTTCAGCTCCCTCTCGACCTGGCAGTCCGCTGAGCCCAGCCTCACCCTGAGAACAAGAAAGATTTGAAATTGGGATTACAGTGATCAAAGATTCTGTATGCACTGACAAAAACAGGAGGGAAGTTAACGGGTGGGCAGCACCTTGTGACCCTTTAGTCCTGGGATTCCATCCTCGCCAGGACGGCCCTTCTTGCCCTGTATGAAAAGTTAGCCAGAGACTATTAAACAATTGCTGATTCAGAAATGAAGCATTTTTAAAAACAAAGAGGAGATTTTTAAAAAATGATCCCCCCCTGCCAAAAAAAATGTGTTTGGGTCCATGTGTTGTCATACTGTATGAGGCCTTCTTGACAAAGCGATTTGGCGCGGTCTTAATTGTAGTTGTTTTCCATTGGTTTGGCTCATTTCTTGAAATAGAAATGACATTCTCAAAGTAACATGAACAAATCCCCAAACCACCTTGTACTTGTTGACAACAGAAGTTAAAATCTCATGAATTGCATGAAAATGCAAATGCCTTATTGTCTCAAGTGTCTCAGTGCATCTTTACAAATGGCAATGTTCAAGTAGCCTCCGGTTCGCACAATGAGCCCATGTTTCGCACATTTTCCAAATAAATAGATCGTGCTGATCTAAACCTATTAATTGTAGTCAATTCTCAGTCTAATGACCGTTCTCTCCCAAATATATCAGCATGATTTCATTGTGTAAGTCATCATATGCGCAATAGTCTGTTGAACTGTCAAAATTAGTCAAGAACATAATATCTTCAACACCATATGTGAATTTCGGAATGGAGCGATGACTACCACACACTCCTTTCTTCAATCCAATTGAGGATTTTTTTCCGCTCGGGGGTCAAGAGTTGATGAACATCGGGCTCAGGGCCACTGTTCCATACAATGGATGACGCGTGCAAGAACAAACATGCTGGTCTATGCTGCGTTTTCTTTTTTTTTCTTGAGTTTTATACATCACTGTATTCTGTCAGCTAAATCTCTGCCGTAGTGACAAAGCATCTAAGCATTTTGACTTGCGGTGCTTACGGATATATGCGAAAGGAATTTAGTTTTGTCACATGCGTAAGCTGTTTTGGGAGACATATGAGCTTTTGCAGGGAATCCATTGTGTTGTGCTGAAGCATGAGTGTTATTTTGGGCAAGTGAATGCAAATGACCCAAAGCAATTGAGAAGGATCTTTGCAATTTTGGTGGTACCGACTCCTTGTATGAGGAAGGGGACAAGTTTGAACCAAGTTGGAACATTTTGGGAGGGATAGGAGCTTTTTCTAATGAGCTGTAATTTTGCACTGAACTCTAAGACTGTTTGGCCAAATGACCTTTTAGTTTGAAGACTGTCATTTCTGTTTCCAGGAATTAGGCAAACCAATGGAGAAAAAACGTAATATAACGTCTGACTTTACAACTACTTGCCAAATGATTTCTGACCTTTTGTTTGGAGACAATCAAAGCAGAAATAGTGATTTGATGTTTCACATCTCAGACCACCCAATTCAATTTCTCTTGAAGCTCTTGAAGTGCCAAGAAGGTCTGAAGCCAAAGAAGCTTTATCGTGAATATCAAGTGTTTTTTGTGCTGATTTGAGAGTTGTATCGAGATCGAGTCTCCATCCCTGCGTACACTTACAGCATTCCTCAGCGCACACCCGCTGCCCTGACATGAAACAGCGTTTGCTCTCAGTATTGAGTTTAAAAGAAATAATTACTCCTTGAAGAATACATCAAGCAAGCATCAGTTTGCGGACGAGTCTCATGTAATCACTTTGGCAGACGAAGAAAGCCGAGAGGAAACAACTGCACATGCAGAACATGTGTACTCTTAACGCTGTGAATGGCCAGAACCATAATTTGCTGACACGTGTGCCCTTGTAAATATCGGCTTAGGCCTGTCTTCAATCAAGTCAACAAGGAATTCATGGCGTTGTCACTGCTGCAGGTCGTCTCTCAAAACTAATTTCCACCCAGACTTTGTAATTATATCCCTGGGTGGCATCGGGATGTGTCTTTGTCTGCGGTGTCTCTCCAAAAGGGAGACTGGATGATGTTGTATGTTGTGGTGTGTAAGGCAAATACTTACAGCGGGGCCGCTGGGCCCCCGCTCACCCTTCTCACATGCACACAGGCTCTGCACAAGGGGACACTTTAAAGCACAGTGAGGACAGAGGCTGTTAGAAGGCGGCCATTCAGGGACGCAAATCAAGTCGTGAGTGTTAGGGACTTACTCCTTCATCTGCCAGTGTTGTCTGCAAGGAGAAAAAAAAGACTTTAACATTGGAGCTAATTCACCACGATTACTCAGGAGAGCAAAGGGACTAAACATGCAGACGATCTTTCGAGACTGTCATTGGTTCCCAGGTAACGGAGTGATGCTGTCAACAATGCTGAGTGCAAGGATGAAAGCCTTATAGGTCGACTTGGTCGGCCCTGACCATTGTGTGGTTTTATGCCATCTAAATCACCTGAAACCCTGATTGTACCGTCAACTATTTTCTCGAGTTATCTGAAGGATCTGGTGTGCATGTTCATTCTTGCACAATTGCGTTCTTGCATCGACCAGATGTTGCATTGCAGTCATTGTACTGCAACTCATAATAAGCAACTTCGCATCTCAACTCATCCAAGAACAAAGTTTTTTTTCTTACCGCTTTGGCCAACGATGCTCTCCAGTGAACAGAAACGCACTGCTGGAGGCATTGGTCGAATACTTTGTCAATCAGAGGTTGGGCTAGACCTCTTGGTGGCCACATGAATCCATTGTCATCCCGAGACTACCCATCCAGCCATCACACCGTTTGCTTTAAGCGATTATCCTGTTCACTGTCACGGGGAGCTGACCCAAGATGACTTTTAGCAGACAACACGATCTGAATTGTCTGTCAGTCACAGCACACACAGTGACAGACAACTATTCAAATTCACATTCATATCATCACTGATTGGGAACGGCAGCCACGCTGCCTGCATCGCAGTCAGTCAAATGAAGAATTGCACCATCAGTGTCCTTCCTAAAGAGCATTTTCCACAACAGGCAAGTCTGGGATTCCAGTCATAGTTGGTGGAGGGAATGCCCCTTTTCTGATCTAACATCACAAGTGCCCGGGTGCACAAAGTTCAACTTGATACTTTGGACTTCATTCATGTACTGGTTATATGTCCCAAAATTTGTATCCATGCCATAACTGCTTTCGGAAACACTCGAGAAATAACATGTGATTCATTTGGATTTGATCAGTACGTATGGACAGTGGTGTGTCTTCTGAAAGGCAAATCAACAGATTTTCATTTTGACCATGGGATCTCCCGTGCGCATACATTCCAGGACGTGTTTACTCACGATCTCTCGGACGACTTTTTCCACAATGCCTCCGTCCTGCAGGTTATGAAGGTAGCGTGAGGCTGGCGAGCTCGCAATTAGTCGCAGCTGGGCAATATTGGCTGACTCCTTGGCTTCAGGCGTAATTCCGACGGTGAAGAAGCGGACGCCCTGGTTCTTGGCATCAGCCACGGCTGACGCTATGTCAGGGTTCCTTGGGTGCGAGATACCATCGAAGAGCAGAATGGCCACCTTGATGCTGCTGGGAGCCGACTCTTCCAGATAGATGCGCGTGAGGTTGGTGATGGCGTAGGTGATGTAGGTGCCGTGGCCGATGTATGTCATGGGAGCTATGTGGGCCTTGAAACTGTCGGGACCCTGCCACTGGTTAAAGGTTTGCTCGATGATGACATGGCTGCTGTACTGAAGCAGGGCCGAGCGGGTGATGAGGCTGCGGCCGCTCTGCATGTGGAGGCCCTGCAGTCGCTCGGTCACTTCTGTGGCAAACCGCTTTTCTTGTGCGTGATTGTCTTTGGCGCTCTCTGAGCTGTCAATCAAAAAGGCTAATTCCAGACTGCAGGCATCATCCGTAAGTGCTGAGAAAATAGCGTAAGAAGGAGTCAACCTGAACAGCTTGGTAGAATGTTTACAATAGGATAGTATATTTCGAATCATCCTAAAAAGTTTTGATTTTAAGTTCTGTAAAGTGCTGCAGCAATTTTCTAGCTCTGAACGTCAAAATTATCATTGAAATTCTCACTCTCGGACAAGTTTTGAATCAATGAAATGTAAATGACCAAGTACGGAACTTTGGTTTCTGTAATGCGCTAAATTTGAACTTTTTGTCTGAACTGTTTTTTTTTTTAAAACGCTGCTGGTCACCAAAAAACACCAAGAGTTTTTTAGTGTTAGAATTTTTGCCTGAAATTTTAATGTCATTAGTAACGTATGCATTGCTTCTTGTCATGTATGTGCACAAACCACTAAAAGTAAATATAACAACGTATAATTAAAATTAAATAAAATGTGGATTGAAGCTTACATTGAAGAACCTTTTGGCAAAAAAATGTTATTTTTGTTCCCCCGTTTTTGGCTCTAATAAGCATCACACAAAGCCAAAGAAAAGGCACAAAAACGCATGCAAGCCATTAACGAAAAAAAGGAAAGTTAATCTGCATGTTTTAGCCTCTCTTTCTTTTTCTGGAAAGGTTAGCCAAACACTCTTGCAAAGGGTTCATCATTGTAATTAATTTGCTTTTTGACGTACCAGTACTCCTGCAGTGTGAATGGGAATAACTGAATACCGTTATTTGACAACATGATGCAAGCTGAAACAGTGTTCATTCAGACAGACTTACATTTGCCATAATTTGCGTATTGCCTGTTTTTCCTCTGAGTGTTCATCTCGTCATCATTGCCTCTGTGGTCGTGTGGCCAAACACCCTGCATCCCCCAGAAAAGCAGAAGCCAGTGCACTGAGGGCATCAGCAACATGGTGTCCTTCCATGCAAAGTGATGACATTGACACCATAAATAAAGCTAAACGGTCCTAAAACAAGCTTGAACAAGCAGAACTCACCATGTGGATCCTTTATGTCTCCAAGGTGATCAACAGTTTAATGCTCCCCTGAAAGAAAAGACATTGGGTGCGGGGGAAAATGTGCCAATAAGTTGGAGGAGATTGTCTACATTCGCGGTTTGTTCGATCCCATGCCCCCAGCCTGGCGATCGGGCTGAATGGTGATGCTCATGTGTTGTGGCTCTCACATTTGAGCCTTTCTCAAAAAGGTGAAGTAAGTGAAAGAAGGACTAGCCCCTTTTCTGAGCTCCCTCACTCCCATTTCTGGGAGGAGACCTGCGGGGGCACCTCAAGACATTCTCAAAAAGGGAAGTAAGCGTATTGGTCCTTTTCCATGTCATTCATTCATTCTCATCACTCAAAATCAAAAATTGCCGGCTATAATAGTGAGACATTGTCACTGGCTATATATACAGGGGAAGCCAAAATAAGGAATAATTATGTCATTGCCGGCATTACTGAGCAGTAGAAAATTGTACATGTCGTGGGTGAGCTTGAGTCTATCGCAGCTGACATTGAGTGAGAAGCGGGATACACACTCAACTGTTTGCCAGCCAATCACAGGACACACACAATACAACATACAAACAACCATTCCTATAAACAATTTAGGGTCTTCAGTTGAGTTTTGGAACGTGGGAGAAAGCCAAAGTACCAGTAAAACACACACACACACACACACACACACACACACACACACACACACACACACACACACACACACACACACACACACACATGAGCAGGGGGGGATAACATGAAACCTCCACCACATGAAGGCCAGAGAAAGGATTCGAACCCCAGAAATGTGAGGCAGGCCGACAAAGCAAAATTCCGACACACTACTTTGGTTCATTACGATGATAAGAATGCTCAATGTTAACCGACACTGCCAAGTGGAAATGAGACAAGAGGCCCTTATTACCAAAACAGCAAGTGCACTTTAACACTGAAAAGTGTTTTTAAATTACGCGAATAACAAAAATGCAGTTTGAGTACAAAGGCATCACTTGTACTAATATGATAATGTTGATGGTGTAAATCATAGGTGTCAAACTCAGGTCCTGGAGGGCCGCTGTCCTGCATGTTTTCCAAGTCTCCCTGTTGCAACACACCTGAATCAAATGATCAGATCATCAGCAAGCTCTGCGGAAGCCTGACATTGAACCTGTTCATTTGAATCAGGTGTGTTGCAACAGGGAGACTTGGAAAACATGCAGGAGAGCGGCCCCCCAGGACCTGAGTTTGACACCTATGGCGTAAATATTACACTTTGGAATGTGGGAGGAAACCGGAGTACCCGGAGAAAACCCACCCAGGCCCGGGGAGAACATGCAAACTCCACACAGGAAGCTGGAATTGAACCCGGTACTTCTGCACCTCTGCACTGTGAGGTTGACATGCTAACCACTGGACCACCAGGCCACCCTCTTGTCAATTTCAAACAACCCAAAATGGAATTGTATATGTAGAATCCCCCCCCCCCCCAAAAAAACAGCTTGACCTCAGACCTGAAAACAACACTGAGATGTGGCAGTTAATTACAAAATTCCTTTGAGTAGTTCTTTTTTCTATCACAGGTATGTTTATTAGGTGCTCCCTCAGATGAAAACTGCGTCTCCACCAAAATTTAGCGTAAGTCTTATTGTACGGGTAAACGACTCAGTGGATTCAAGCAAGACGAGAGCCCCAGAAGCTGTAACAAGCATCACATAACTCTGATGTCTCTGTGGTGACAGTGTGTGCACGTATTTTTATTGCCAAGTACGGTACCTTACTGAAAGCACAGAACGGTGGGCTGTCACTCAAGAATGAGTCTTAAAGTCTGCTGTCTGTGCGAAAGATGAATATTTACTACGGTGGGAATGGAAATTTAAAAAGAAAATTCTCGTTTCCTATTGCAAACCATGAAAAATGATACTTAAATTACCACAGTGATGCTGTGAACAGATGGATGTTATGTTATGGGTGCAGGGATAATCAGTAGGTCGGATTTTCAATGTTAACACCTTTGCAATAGCAGCATTACATGTGTGTTTTTTGGGCGTGCGTGTGTGCGTGCATGTCTGTGTGTTCTGCTAGCTGTATGTTAATGTTACATTTTACATAATTATACTGTGTCATTTATTTCAAACATTGATTGTGTGTTTTAGGCCCTCTAAGGACTTTTCTTCAGCTGTAGAAAAAGCCGAAATGTTGAAGTTGGAAATCATGCTGGCATTGGCGTGCATCTAATCAGGTGAAGGGAGCATGCTGAGTCTTGTGGCCTCTAGTGAATTCATTCCTCCTCGTCGCTCCTCCACCCTTGATGTAGCTATGGCAACACCAAATTAAAGCAGCAACTTTTCCAAACACTCCCTAAGTTAAAGGTCCAGATGAGCTCAGAATTCCACAGTTGAAGGTGTTTGATGTTCCACGTGTCCTTGCGATAACCCTGAAAGCACAACTTTTCAATCATCACTCCTGAGACTTAACTTTGGGGCATGCCCAGAGTGCCGAAACCAAATATCTGTTGTGTTTTGTCATGCAGCTACAGACTGGTCGAGCAGTATTAATACAAGCGGAAAGAAGTTACGTTATCTCTGCTGAGCCTTTTGCAGTCCTGAAGGATAAAAGCCAAAGCATTAGCATGCTGTCAAACTGCTTGTTACTTTACTTGAAAACCATTGCAAATTGTGTCATTTGAAGTCAAAGTGGGTTCTAACTCCATTGGTTAAATTAAGTGTTTCAATTTAAATACATCAATGTGGTGAGAACTCGATGCGGCAATTCTTACTCCGAAATGACTTTTTATGTGTAATTGCTGTTACTGAGTCAACGTCCGACTGAAATGCAAATATTCCTCAAAATGATGTAACAGCAATGCTAAGTAATGTTGTTTGAGATAATGTGACATCATTGCCACGTCATTCTTTTTTGTTTATAAGCTCATTTTACTTTGATCCTCTTGATGAGGGAGTCCAGTATATAATAACTGACCTTTTGAAAAAAAGGCATTCCGCCCCCAGTTTTTCTTTTTTATTCACTACACAATAGTGATGCTTTATCCATCCAATCATATTTAATACCACTTAACCGGTTTCGGGTCAGGGGGAAACTGGAGCTTGTCCCAAATGACTCAATGTGAGGTGAGTTGACATATCAATCATAGGATGCCAGACAACCATTTACAGTGACATTGACACCGCTGAATAATGTAGTATTCACTAAACAAACAGGCAAGGTGTGTCAGAAAGTTTCCAGGACTGGCAACACAAAGTCTATATCGTAAACCTACAGACAACACCAAAGACAACACATTTTCCCCTTCGTTGTGGCGCAGACAAGCAACCAGCGCGCCTCCAGAAAGATGGTTTGCTTCTTCCACTGGGCGAAAAGAGGCAAGAGTTGTGGCAAAACACCTTAGGGCTGCCCTACTATGACAACACACCTGCATACAATGCTCTGAGCACCTGACTGAAGAGAAACCTTGCTGCAACCTCTCTACTCACCCGACTTGACTTTGTGTAATTTTGTTGCCTTTTTTCCAAGCTCAAGTGAGTCATTAAGGCCCCTGTTTTCAAGATGTTGACAAGATAAAGACGTCCGTGGCGACAGAGCTGCTGATGATCCTGTAGAAATCCTTTCAGGGGTCCATGAAAGCGTGGTAAAGAAGGCTCTACAGGAAGCTCAAGCGGGGAACTTTCAGTTTGGATTTGAAATCAATGTTTTTGTAAATAATTTGTTTTGTGACATCAGTCCTGGAACTTTTCTGACAAACTTCAAGTGAGAGGAAATATCGAAAGTGTGAATGCTTTACTCTGAGTCAGCAG